GTTTACGAGGGTTTAGGGTTTAGGGTTTAGGGTTTGTTGTGTATATATCTCAGACTCTTCGTCGTTATTTGCCTGATGAGGGTTTGGATGAGCCAGCAGCAGCAGCAGCAGCAGCAGCAGCAGCAGCAGGAGGGGATTCGGACCCATCCTCCTCTGCAGCAGGAGCAGGAGCAGCAGCAGCAGCAGCAGCAGCAGCAGCAGCAGCAGCAGCAGCAGCAGCAAAAGAGCCACATGTATTTGCTTCGAGCAGCGCAGCATACAGAGATTTGTGTATAAACAAACAATCACAAACAATATTAATAAGCGGAGAATCAGGCGCAGGAAAAACAGAAACCACCAAATTTGTTATGAAATATTTAGCATGTGCTGGCAGCGATGATCTCAACAAAAGGTCACAGGTATCGAGGGTTTACGAGGGTTTAGGGTTTACGAGGGTTTAGGGTTTACGAGGGTTTAGGGTTTTAGAGGGTTTAGGGTTTTCTAGGGTTTATAGAAACAGAAACCACCAAATTTGTTATGAAATATTTAGCATGTGCTGGCAGCGATGATCTCAACAAAAGGTCACAGGTATCAAGGGTTTACGAGGGTTTAGGGTTTACGAGGGTTTAGGGTTTACGAGGGTTTAGGGTTTACGAGGGTTTAGGGTTTACGAGGGTTTAGGGTTTTCTAGGGTTTATAGAAACAGAAACCACCAAATTTGTTATGAAATATTTAGCATGTGCTGGCAGCGATGATCTCAACAAAAGGTCACAGGTACCGAGGGTTTAGGGTTTATGAAGGTTTAGGGTTTACGAGGGTTTAGGGTTTTAGAGGGTTTAGGGTTTTAGAGGGTTTAGGGTTTAGGGAGAAGGGAGAGTGGGACTGCTTTCGCTGCTGCTGCTGCTGCTGCTGCTGCTGCTGCTGCTGCTTTTGCTCTCGCTGCTCTCACAGTTGCTGCTGCTCTTCCTGTTGCTGCTGCTGCTGCTGCTGCTGCTGCTGCTGCTGGTTGAATTGCTTATATATTTCCCTGCATGTGCTGCTGTGTTTGCTGCTGCTCCTCCTCCTCATCCTCCTCCTTCTCCTGCTGCTT